TTCCTTAGACTCGATGAGTTGTTTGAACAACTCAGCGAGTCGGATGAGTTTTCCCGAGAAAAGTAGTGTTTGGGTGAAATAGCTTCATTCCTTCTTAGTTACACGTAAAGTTAGCAACTTTACGTGTTCAGATGGTTCCATGGGCTCAAATCCACGAGTTAGATGCTTTGGAATGGATTAGAATTCAATTGCATGGAATCTGCACGACAGGACTCGGCGAATTGTTCTTCGGACTCGACGAGTCGAGTCGTGAGTCCCCATCTTTCTTCGGTTTGTGAGTTCAGTGTGAATCGGTGAGTGGGAAAGACGACTCGGTGAGTTAAAGTTAGAGTTGGTAAAGAAGGGACTCGACGAGTCTGCGCCTTGACTCGGCGAGTCCGGTCAACTGGAAGTTGACTTTAACCATGGAGTTGACTTTGACTAGGGGTAAAATAGTCATTTTACCCTGAGAGCGTTTACCAGTAACTGATCTAGTGTTTTTGGAATTTGTAGCCGGACAGTTCCGGAGCAGCAGTCAGCCACCTTTAGAGTTAGCATCTCAGCATCCAGCACTTCGAGGTGAGTCTCCTTCCAGTAGGAACGGGTCTACGGCCACAATGCCGGCCCATTTAGTTAGCAGTAGTTCCGGACCTCGGTCCGATGCAGTAGTTAGATTGCTTGATGTCTTTGTGATTCAAGCCTGTCTTTGTGTTATATGTTCCGAATTTCGGTCCGATGCAGTATGCAGTATATGTGTTTATGCTAGCTGATATGTGTTTATGCTATGCTATGTTCAGTCAGTTCTGGACTTCGGTCCGATGTAGGGGACAAGGTCCCAGTCAGTTCCAGACTTCGGTCTGATGCAGTTAGTTCCGGACTTCGGTCCGATGCAGGGGACAAGGTCCCAGTTAGTTCCGGACTTCAGTCCGATGCAGTTTCCGGACTTCGCTCCGATGCAGAGGGCAAGGCCCTGGTTAGTTTCCGAACTTCGGTCCGATGAAATTTTCGGACTTCAGTCCGATGCAGTGGGCAAGGCCAATTATGTGCTTTATATGTTATTGTATGGTATGTGGTAGTTTGGGGGAGCTCACTAAGCTTTGTGCTTACAATTTTAGTTTTGGTTTCAGGTACTTCCGCAAGCAAAGGGAAGAGCTCGGGATGATGGCATTGCACACACCACAGCTTCAGCTTTTGTCTTGGGAATTTATTTTAGATACTAAGTTATGTTGTTACAGTTCTTTTTTTATGACACATCTACTATAACTTTTTGAGATTTATGACGTACGATTTCATGATATGTTATAAATCGTTGATAACCTTAGTATTATTTAAACAAAATTTTTGGGTCGTATTTTAGATCGTTACACTTATTGTATTACACGTTAATTGCAATCAATCACAGCTACAATTATGTTTCCTGAATAAAATATTACTCTTTTCCACGTAGGAATCATACTCGTATTCCCGAAGAAATCTTACTTTTGTCCCTGTAGCAACCATACTCTTATTCCCAAGGAATCTTACTCTTGTCCCTGTAGGAACCATACTCTTATTCCCGAAGGAATCTTACTATTGTCCCCGTAGGAACCATACTCTTATCCCCGAAGTAACATCTATCTTTTGTCCCCGAAAGAACATCTATCTATTGTCCCCGAAGGAACCTCTATCTCTCTATCTCTGTCTTTGTTATGTAACTCATCACATAACCATTGTCCCATAGATAATCTCTATCTCTCTATCTCTATCTTTGTTATGTAAATCATCACATAACCCTTGTCCCATAGACAATCTATCTCTATGTCTCATCAAGAGACCTTCTAATCTTTCTCTTCAACTATTTAACTCATTAAGTACTTAATCTTTATCTATGTCTACTAACACGTTGGCATTCTTAAATACCATTAATGTCTAGACACATAGATGCATACTCTATGATTATGTTACATATAATCATCTTCTGTCTCTATCTACTTTCTCTTAGGTATTCTAACAAATATCAATCTCATCATCTATTCATACATAGGATTATATTACATATAATCATATTCTTTCTTTATTTACTCTTAAGGTTATTACTCATAATACCCGTATTCATCCTTTACCCACTTATACATATTTTCGTTATACATACATGCTCAGATACATGTCTTATATGTATAACCTCATTGATTTAATCTTACATAGGGTTATGATCTATATAACACTATATGTCCTTCCTCTTTGTCATGCTTAGATACATGACACTATCATACATAAAAATACATATATTTGCATGCATAAAATGTATAAATTGACTTAGAGAGAGAGAGATAGTGATATATATATATATATATATATATATATATATATATATATATATATATATATAAGTCACCTTATCAATTAGTGAAAAATTACTATCCCACTTTGGCTCTTTTCCTTAATTGGTGCATCTTGATCCATCTTTTTTCTCTTAGGCCTATTCATACACATATGTATGCTCTTAGCCTATTAAGAGGTTTTGACTCTTAAAAGTCAACATACTTACTTAATGGATCCTTAATCTATCTTTTTATTCTCTATCTCTTAATCTCATCCAATTAATGAATTAATCATCTTACACTACCTAATTCATTATAATCTACTCTAATGCATCAATTCATCATTCAATCAGTTAGGGTTTCAAACCCTAACTTCATATACATTGATTCCACCATGGAAATCACTTTCTAAGCTTGGTTACAGCTTCTAGACACTATTAATAGCATCATATTTCATCTATATGCTAATCAAACCAAGCGATTTAACCAATTCATCAACACACTATTAAAGGCCTACTAGCTTAAAAATGGAGAAGATGATTACCTTACAAGCTTTCCACCTTCAATCCAAGCCATATGCACCCAAAATCGCATCTTAATCCTTCCCCATCCTTCAAATCGTCAGAGCTTAGTTGGGGTGGGGGTGTGGGGGGGGGGGGGGGGGGGGTTAGGGTGTGTTATGACAACAATGAAAGGCTTAACAAACTGAAGCTCTGTCTCGTAACCACACCACAAATATATATTCCCCACACCACGGCGACCACTTGACTTTGGTTAACGAACGCTGAAACGCTATCCACGCAATGAGCTTCTTCTTGCCACGTCGTGGCACTTTTTCTCGAAGGCATCCTAATTTGCTAATCGCGCGGTAGTACCCATATGCCCACGTCACGGAGCAAAGTACGTTGCTATTCTTTCTTACACAAATCGTTCTCCGCACCACGGAAACTACTTGACAGCAGTTCCTTTAGCTGATTTCATTCCAACTTTAGGACATTTGGGTCCCAACTTCTAATCCTTATATCTTTTTCGTTTCTTACTCGTTTTCAATGTTCTTTATATCCACGCGAAGGTGGAAACATAATCTACACATGTTAATTCATTTCTCACTTACTTAATATGGGTCTTAATCTATTATGACACAAACTTGGGCCAAAAAACATAAAATATCCATTTTACTCTTTTGACCAATAATGCATCTTCTCATGAATTATTTCTCTGTAACTTACTCATATTACCTCTGTTAAGTGACTTAAACTTATGTTGGTCATTTTTATGAAGTCACAACTTCATAATCTCACATTTTTCTCATAAATGACCAAATTACCATTTTAGTCAATATTTGACTAAAAGTCAACTTACTCTAAATTTCACGTTCTTACAATGGGTCTTTCTATTTGAGGACCTTATGTTCTAATTTAATGTTATTTTTTTCATCGTATTTTAAATAATGTTATTTGATGTTTGCAGCATGGGATTAATTGGTGTCAGAAAGCTGACATGGAACCTTCGTTAGAGCAGTTTCCATTCCCAAAAAATAAGAAAAAAATACAATCGAATGATAAAAAATTAAAGAGGCATACCAAATCTCATGTTATGCAAATATGATAGAAAAACAATAAGATAACTGACACCACTCCTTTCTGTTTTAAGAGCATCCATATCGCCTCTTGCAATCTCCTTTCAAAGTATATGTGGACTTCATTTTCAAGCCAACTAAGCATTTGTCTTTCAGCAGATGAAAGGCTTGCAAAGCATAAATAAGACTCATCATCTTTATATAATAGTATTTATACATTACATTCTTATTTATATTAACATTCTAATTAATCAAATTTCCTTTACATTATTTTAAGCACGATAGGTCTGATCCAAATTTTGTTTTCAACATTATTTTTTTATAGACTAATGGTGAAGTTCGTTATTATTTTATGAGTATTTATTTTAATAATTGTTTTTATTTATAGATTACACATGGTCTACGTATACTATTTTATTATTGAATTAATATTAAAGTAAATATCTTATAAAAAAAATAAAGTAGTTATTGATGTGGCAGTAGGACCATATTTGAAAGAAGGTTGTTATTGCTCTGATATAAAGATAATTATAAAATCTTATATGATACATTTGAAAGACTAATTGTATTGCACTATGTGGATGGTCTAAGGGTTTGGGTTTGTAAGTTTGTTGCCACTTAATGCTTTGGGTTTGTTGCCACGTAATGCTTCATAACCATGTTATTTATATATAAGTTGTTATATAGCTGTAAACTAGAACCCTGTGTATATATGAGTTTTACTAACAGAACCTCTATCTTGCGCCTCATTTTCTTGACAATTGTTGTAAAGGTTTTCCTATATCATAAGCTTCTATCATGCGTCTCCATTTCCAACAATAATTGTTTTGTCGGAGAATAAATTAATCCAGATTACATTTATGGCCTCCAATTTTTGAACTTACAAAAATAACCCCTACACTCTTCACAACTTTTGATAAATCACCCAGCAATCATTTCTTTTACGCTTTTAGTGTTTTTGAAAGCTGTGATATGTTATTCTGATTTAACAGCAAAACAGACTTAAATACTAGTCTATAACAATACTTAAAAAAATTATTATAAAATAATAGTCTGAAAGTTTTACTCGATTATAACAGTAAAAATGATTTTGTATTTCAATTACATTGTTACAAATGGATATATTTTTATTTCACAATGTAATTAGAAATAAAAATACGATGTTACAATTAACAAATAAACGCAAGCATATTGCTACTTCTTGCATTTAACCCTAACCTTAATAAAAAAGATACAACATAAGGTAGTAGTAATCAGGGAACTAAAAAGATAAAGTAACAGTAACACCACTTCAAAAAATTAAAAAATAAAAATCCTCCATATACTCTAGACATTTTCTTCATCCATCAACATCAACCAAAAGCAATTAAGTCATTCAATACCACTACTGACCAACAACCTAAACAAACACAACATATACTCCATCTTTTAACAACCTACAAGAAAAAAAAAAAAAGACAGAAATACCCTTCAAACACATATCTATCCCAATTCCATATTCCATTCCATTCCATTACTAACATTCTCTCAATCCTTAGGCGCATGTAGGTTGAAATCAGCACCATGTTCTTTCAGGGGCAAATTCGTCATTTGGGTCCTCTGCTTCATCTCCGACGGAAACTGGTGCTCCTGTTGCTGCTGTTGTTGGTGGTGCTGCTGAAACTGGCGGTGGAGGTGGTGCTGCTGCTGCTGCTTTTGTGACTGAATCTGGAGTTGCTGAAACTGCTGTGCAGTTAGCATGGTGTTCATGTTCATGTTCATGTTCATATTCATGTTCATGGCTTGGTTGTTGGAGTAAAACTGCTGCTGCTGTGGCGGCTGTTGGTGGTGGTTTGATGAAAAAGATGTCTGAGGAAAGTTTGAAAGATTCTGTCCTGTCAATACTTTCAGATGTTGAATCTCCTCCTTCAATGCATCGTTCAAAGCTGAGGGCAATTCCGGAATTTTGATTAGATTCAAAAATACATAATAAAGAAAAAGGGAAATTAATCAATTATATCAACTTATACCATCTTGTAAGTGGACTTGTTGTTCCATGGTTTGTAAGCGCATTTTCAGTTCACTGTTTTCAGCTGTCAAACCATTTGTATCTCTCTGAAATAACAAAATAAATAAATAAATAACACTCTTGATTTTATATATTTAAATAATTAATTTATTTTATATGAAAGAAACCTGCATAAGAGTGAGCTGAGCAGAGAGTGAAGTTGCTTCAGTTTGCAGTGTTTGGACTTTCCTTTCAAGCTCAGCAATGTATCTCATTTTTCTTTCCTTTGATCTTGCAGCTGATTGTCGATTTGCCCATATCCTATTAAAAAAAATAATAATATATATAAAATATAATTATTATTGTTCCAATTATATGATTACAAGGTCTCCTAATTATAAGTTGTAACAAAATAACAGATAGAAAAAGTGAAGAGAGAAATTGTACCTTTTTGCACGCTTTGGATCAACAAGAGCAAGTTCAGCAAGCTTTGCAGCAGACATGGATTTCTTAGCATCAACAGAAGATGTTTCTTCAGGGCCTGAAGTGAGCATTTCAGGCTTAATTGTGGTTGACCCATCCATTGACTGACTATGCTGATGTCTAACCCTAGGTTTCTCAGGTTGCAATGTTGCAGGTTCTGAAGCTTGGATTCCAGAAGATGATGAATCGCCTACTTGAAATGATGATGTTGCGGATGAAGAGTTTAACTTATCCATGTCAAGATACATAGAAAACAGATCTTCTTCGGTTTCATCGGAGAATGAAGGGCCATTGAAGCCACCGACAACACCAAGATCACTATCGAAACTAATATCATCTGGTAGAGTCAGGATTTCTGAATGTGCGCGTCTATGGCCTAAATGTTTGGGTGGATTATCAGGCATTCTGCTGATATCATGACTAAAAGGGCTAGAATCTGATGCGACATGTCCGATTGGACTTGGAGGTAATGTTGTTGATCCTGATGGCTCTGGTTTTGGACCAAAGTTGTTCCCAGATTGAGGTGAAAAAACTGAATGTCGACCAGAAGGAGGTAATAGATTCCCACCGATATTTGGGGATTTATCTTTCTCCATTTACACCGATGAATAAACCCAGAATGCTTAGAATTCAAGAGCAGAAAGTCGGTTTTTCTTCGGACCCAATATCAGATGTTTGTAGTTTGAAGTTCGAACAGAAACCCTAATTCGATTGAAGAATCTTGCTAACAGACGGGGTAGTAGAATCCCAACTTAACAAATCTTTTCCTTGAATCAGAAAATCAGAGTAAACTTGGTGTTGTCTCCTTGTCGATAGAACTCAAACCCTATGAATAAATCTATTTCTAGTTCAAAAACCCTGCAAATGTTTTATGAACAATAGAATCAAAACCCAATGCAGACGAAATGAGAGAAGAGGATGATGAGCAAGTAAAATGAGAGTGAAGAAAGTATACAAGTAACATCAGAGCGAATAGCACGAAGGGGAATAACTAAGGAAACCCTAGAAAAGAAAATGAAGTATCAGGGGTTGTAGAAAGTGCAAAAATTCTTACTTCTAAAGATGATTGGGAGATTTCTGAAAAGCGAAATGAGAAACGCGTAGAGAATCAACAGCTTTTCACATGATAAATCGAACAAAGAAGCACATGGCGGGGCTAAAGATCTGACTTCTGAGATGCGAAGCTTCTTAGAGAAACACACACAGGGAGTTTGGTGACAACGTTTATGGTAAGGACCCGATTGCGTTTTGGGCTTCCTTTAGAAGGTATTGACTTCATAGTCCATCTTGGAGAAAGAAATCAAAGAATTATCTTGTAGATTTCTGTTTAATTCTATTTCTTGAACACAAACTACGGTTATGTTTGATAGTTGCTGATTGAGAAAGACCTGATTGAGAAATATCTGTCTGAGTAAGAAATCCTGACTGGGTAAGAAATTATGTTGTTTGATTGTATATCTGACTGAATATCCTCACCGATAAAAAATGATCATTTTACCTTCTGCTATATACAATGATAGATGAAGTTGCTGAAGAATTATAAAAAGATACGATATGTGAATTACACACAAATTCTTTTAAAAATCCAAATATAAAATATAAAAGGCATCATTGTTTTTATAAAGTTATATGGTATGTAATTTCAAATAGAAAAATGGAATTTTAAGTACAACAAAAGGAATAAAAATTTACATGGTATGTAGAAATACAATTGGTTTTCATTGAGCATTTAATCAAACACATGGTATGCATTTCAACAAACAATACATTAAGATGATTAAAGATATAAGATAAAAGAAATTCATGTATAATAAATCAACTAATGTGAACCTTTACGTGCATATTGAAATAAAGTCAAACAATAGTTTTTGATTGAAATTTATGAGGAATAATCAAAGCACATAGGACCTCTTATCACTTCGTCATTTACCATATCTTATAAAAAGCACATGAATTGATTTCATAATCACATAATCCAATTCGGCATGTCAATTTTGACTTTTTATTTGACTTTTGGATTTCAAGATCAGAACTTCAAGGCTTTCAATCAGGCGATGCAATAGCAAAATAAACATTCAAGAGCAAACAAACAGCAAAAATTGGAACTTTACCATTCAGATTTTGAAAAATCAAGAGCATAAATCGGACCATTCAACAGAAAATTTAAACAGCAAAAATCGGAAAATTCAAGCGTACTTGATGAGACGAGGAAGGAGCTTCGATTGGTGGTTGGAAGAGGAAGAATGGAGTTGACGATGCTTGCTGGTTGGGGAGAAGAATGGAGCCGCTGGAACAGGATTCATAAGGAGGTGCTAGAAGAGATACGTTAAGGAAGGGTATTATTGGAACCTTTCTCAGTCAGCTTGTTTTTCACTTCTTTCCCATTCAGTTATTCCTTTGCGAGACAGATGCACAAAAAGTGATTATCAAACACTTATACCTGACCGAGTCAGCCAAAAAAGTCTGACTCGACTCGGTCAGACGATTCTCAAACACGACCTACGATTTTGTAGGAATTTTAACAGATTGTAGTGACATTTAAAACCCAACTACAAATATTGTTCGAAGATTCTGTTATATGCGAACTAATCGGATAATAATATAGTTATAAACTTAACTAGAATTAAATTTTAAATTATGACTCATGTAAAACAGAGGGACGTATAAAATACATATCAAGTTATAACAAACCGTCACAATAATTAAAAAAATGATAAAGTAACAGAAACAGACTTCTTGCTATTGATTATATCGAAAAGTTTAAAAAATAAAATGAAATGTTTGAATATCTATAATTGTTGAAGGACCTCTTTGTAGACAACAAATTTTTTTCATTGGTTGAACGATCTTCATCGTCATATATGAGTATCTTCAAGTATTTTTTACTTATCATGCCAGAAATAATTACATATAACTAACCATGAGTGAAGACGGGTCCACACAAATATAATCCAACAGTTGATAATGATTGTCCTTGACTCTTATTAATCGTCATAGCAAAACAAACAACTACGGGGAATTACATCCGCCTAAAACGGAAGGGAATTATTTTATCAGACAGAGTTAGCTTCATGCGAGGTATATAAGTAGTCTTATTGAAGAATCTACCTGCTATAATATGTGCCTCAATGACATATTTTCCAAGTCTAACAATTTGTAACATAATAACATTACATAAACTTTTGGTTTGGTCGATATTACGAAGCAATATGGCTGAAACACTTGTTTTTAGTGTAAATTATAGTTGGGAATTCCAAATGCCTTAAAAGCATTCAATACATTCAGAGAGTAAACTGATTCCTCAAAATAATCTATTGACTCTGCCTCGCATAAAGAATTTGAACTCAAATAAGTTTCCTTTCATATTTCATCAATCCTAACATGTAATCATTGATAGCATCGACCTCTTCATTTGTAGAGACCAAAATATCTTTATCTTGAAAATATGATAGATCATCAAGATGGTTTTCAAAAGACGGATAAATTATCGATACAATTGAATAAATATAATCACTTGTAGAGCGAACGATAACGTCATTTAGAAATTCAACTTCAGCTTCACCAACATTAGGACCACCATATTACTTTCACCAATTTTAAAAATCCATTCAGCAAATGCTTTGTCTCATCCAAATCATTAAATAACATATTAAAGGAAAAAATAACTTATACCAATTAAACATTATAGACATATATGTATTAAAAAATTAATGATAACAGTTAATATATTGTGAAATTAAAATTGATGTTATATGATTTAAGATGTGGAGGTAAATATAATATAAAAGAAATTAAGAATCTTGTGGGGCAAGGCCACCCGGCCTCGAATAGGAAGGGTCTTAGCTCCGGATCCTCCCTGCTTGCAGAAATGAATGGATCAGAAGGGGGCTGGATTCTCTATTTCTATAATTTACCTTAACCGGTTATTTGTGAAAGTGATGACCTTGACGAAATAAATATGGATTGCACATTCAGATGTATGATGTTATGAGACGGAGATGCTGAAGGTAATTCGGTAGGGTCTCGGGTAACACAACAATTAAGGGGTGTGAAAAAATTATTTTCTAAAATGAAAATTCATATCATAAATTGGGGAAATATATTAAAAAAATATATTAATAGTACAATACAAATAAAAAATTATTTATGTCTTATACAACCTACACTTATAGATGACAGTTTCATTAACCTCCTATTCTTTTTCTTTTATTCATCAGGTACTATTAAAATACGAAAAATTGTATTCCGACTTATTACATCATTTTATTACATGAAATCCAATCAATTATAAAATTATGAGAAAACAATATTACTTGTCATTGCCATAGTAAATGGTCAAATGTGAGATGTTGATTAGAAAAGGGAAAAAAAAGTAGTAATCACTAAATTTAAACGAAGATTTGCACGTATTTAACAAAAATAATAAAAAAAAAAGTAAGTTGAAGTAAGTAAATAGCAAATATGTCAAATTGACGGCAATCAATAATTTACAAGAGCAATATAAATAAAAAACAGAATAACATTGTATTTATGATTCAGAAGTATATTACTATTCTTTTGTAGGGACAAACATTCCAAATTGATAACAGTCAATAATTTAGAAAACAGTACAAATAAAAAAAAAATGACAGATGTCAATAATTTAAAAGAGCAGTACAAATAAAAAAATAGAATAACATTGCATTTATGATTCAAAAGTATACATTATTCTTTTGTATGGGCAAATATGCCAAATTGGTATCAGACAATAATTTATAACAACAATACAAATACATGAATAGAATAACAATGTATTTATGGTTCAGAAGTACTTCATTTGTACAAAAAAAATATTCCTACTATGAAGGGATAAAAAAATTATTTTCCAGATTTACCCTTTGCATGAATAGTACCGAATGTTGCATTATCGATTTTCCGTAAAGGCAAAAATGTGTGAAATTGAAGCCTTTTTTAATTCAAAAGTTTTAATATAAAAAAAAAAACAATAACAACATTGACAAAGACATTAAATAGTAGGAGGAAATGAATAAATTCAAAGTAAATGGTTTTATTGGAAACCCATCTATTGAAATAACTAATTAGATTAATGAGAATTGAGGTTTGAGTTCATAAAAGTATGCAATGATTTGATAACATGAATTGAAAGTGTGAAACTAGAAAATAATAAGGCATAGAAGTACATACTGTTGATCGTCGATGATAATGATGGATAATTTTTTGCTCTATTTTTCTGCAGAAGAAGTATGTCAAGTGTTCATGTGTAAATTGAAGAATAAAAAGGTTAGAATTATGTATTATGTATAGAAGGTATATATAACTGTAGCACCCGATTCCTGGTATATATTTTATTCAAGTATATTTCTCATTTTGACTTGGGACTCGGCGAGTTGGTGGCCCAACTCGTCGAGTAGAAGCGGATTGGAGACGGGAGTTAAGTGAGTGACTCGACGAGTCAGCACCCGGACTCGACAAGTCCGCACTGTCTGGACTGTAACATCCAGATTCCCAGGTATATTATTTTATTCATTTATTTTGAAATTTGTGGAGGGACTCGGCGAGTTGGTTCTTAGACTCACCGAGTAGGGTCGTGGATTCT